TTTCAACGCCGAAACCTATATTTCGTACTAAAGTTATCCCTAAAAACTTAAGAACATTTATTTTACATTTAAAAATAGTAGTTAAAAATGCTGTAATGTTGAAAATAATATATTTAATTCATAGCGCCATTCAAATCTGATTCAATACAGATATTTCTTTTTTTGTTTAAGTAAAATTTCTGTTATATATATATATATTCAGTTAGATATATATATATAGATAAAAAAACACGCGATTGTCAATAGCGAGAACCTATAATCAAGGTAAAATCGTTATTTTTTTCTTATTTATCGACATAGCAAATATCGAAGTAATCGTTTAACGCATTGTACCTCATTTTAATTTCAGACTCTTACTATGTTTCAGTTGTAAGTAAAAATATAAGCATGGTATTATTTGTAAATGATACATACTTTCTTATTCTAAATCCATTTCCTTAAAAGAAAACAAATGCAATTACGTTTTCTTTACTCTGTAAATCCAGTATATTAGGTAAAAGAGAATCATCGATATTTTACTTCCTCGATGTTTCGATTCTTTATTACTGCTTTCTGGAATTTCCGGCATAAGCGTTTAAAGTTTGAATACTCACGTGATGTAGTACAGTGTTTGTTGGTGCTTATTTCTAAGCAAAAACTATGATGAACTGAAAGTAATAACGGGGGTTGGTGGGTCAAGCCAACAGGGCGCAGAGCCTCCTAATGTAGTGCATGAAAATTTAACTTTTAATTACTATTTAGCATAAAAGAAAAAAAAATTCCTTTGTAGGAATGACCACAAGAGTTTAATCTGACCAAAAATGACTTTATTATTTTTAACTCTGTATATTTTTAATCGATGAATTTTCAGCAAAAAAATTTTGGAAAAAAAATGTTATATTTCATGTTTTTCTATTCTACGATATCCTTATTGACAGAAAAATAATATTTTAAAATAAAAATTCTCCAGAATAAAATATTTTACTCTCTATTATATGTAACGTTAATGTCTAGCTTCTACTTAACTCTATTGATTTTCTTCACTTCAAAGGCGTAATTTTTACAATAATTTCTGAAAAAGCAAAAATTGTAATACGAACCGTATGTTACTTCCGGGAGTTTACATACCTCCTGGCGAGAAAGGGCTTCCGACCACAGGTCTAAAACCTCAAACCATAGAATGAAACTTAATTATTTTAATGCAAAGAACACTCTTTGATACATTTTGAAAAGTCTTTGTTAATTCGGAGTTTTCCTGCCTTAGTTTCGCTTCCTCAAGGGAATTCTTGAAGTTCCTGCGTGAAGAAAAACGGTTACGGGAAGAAAAATTCTCAAGTTTAGTACTTTTATTTCTGTGTGGTTACATTTTAATCATACGATTGTCGTCTGCCTGATTTCTTTGCAAAACGTTGTTAACGTAATTAAAATCACTAAATAGTGAACATTTTAATGCCCATTTATACATGTGATTATTTATATAAGATTTATTTAAAAATAATTTCCTGATCTAGTCATAGGATTCGATTATTTATTATTTAGTTTATTTCGCAGAACTAATCTATCTTTCTCTTACGTGGTACCATAAACTCTGGTATATTTCCATCCGTTGGCAACACTATAGTTATTATTTATTTTCTCAGGTAGCCTTAAGTAATAATTTAAGTAATGCTGAAAAAGTAGTTATACGTTAAGTATTTATTTAGGACATTTTTGTACTTTAATAGAAATGAAAACTTAGTTAAGAAGTAATTACTCAGATTTATTTTTAAACCTTTCTATGGTTGTGTGCAATTTTAAACATAAATGGTGTTGTGTTGCCCCATACTGTCATACCAATTATTACTGACAGCGTTTACCTTTTTCGTACAATATCATGCATGCAGAACATGCGATAGCATGCTAAGATGGAAGCTTCTTTTTTTTTCACTGAACTTATCGTATTTCGCCAGGGAAGATGCCGGAAGTGTTGCTCATTTTGAGTTACCTGGTGAACACCTTGTGACCAAAGTCACTGAGGCGAGTAACATTACCCAAGCCACACTGCCACAGACACCCGTTCATAGAGTGGGCCACTTTCGCACACAAGAGAGAAACATCCATGCTCTAAGCGGGAATCGAACTCCATTGGATTCGCAGTTAGGCACGCTAACAGCTCAGCCTATTTGCCGGCGACTGAGATGGAAGCAATTTCAATACTTCTGCCTACTATGCTAAAATATATCAAACTCATACTTACTGTGGTTACGGTGGATTTAATGTTGTTATTAAGACTTTGCACTCCGTTATCGATATCGTGAGTCACCACCATACATGGCAACGTTACTTTTAAAAAGTAACGAGTAAAAGTACAAGTATTTTTAAAAAAAGTAACGAGTAAAAAGTAAAAAGTTCTTATTTTAAAAAGTAACGAGTAAAAAGTACAAGTAAAAGTACAAGTACTAAACAAAAAAAGTAACGATTTAAAAGTACATTTCTAGGAAATCAGAAATTCAAAGTAAACTAAACTTTTAATGAATAATATTCTTATGTTCTGTAATGTTTTTGCAAAATTGTTGCTATTTATATCATTATTTTTAATTTTGAAAGTTATGGACATTAATTTATTTTTAAATTCGGAGGAATATTATAATATAATTTTATAATATAATAATATAATATAATTTTAAAATTAAATATAATTTTAATGTCAAACTTTTTATGGATTTGCACGAAAAAGAAATGTTATCTATTGATTTTAATTTTTAGTTTATTATTTTTATTTATTTAAATTACTATTGATTTAAAATTGTTTTACTTTATAGAAACGCGTTTTAAGAGCACAAGCGTAAACAAAACAAACACGGAGTTTCAGATAGCTTTGTGATCTTTGAGCTAGTAAAAATTAATTGAATACAGTATTAGTTGAAACAGAACAGTCTACAGTTTTATTTGAAACAATCGCTAATTCTGAAGTCATGCGAGAAAATTATTTTCCGAACATTTCAGCCTAACGGAATAATTAAAATTTGTAAACGAACTTAAGTATCAGCGGCTAAATTATTACCTTCGAGTTTTCAAGAGTTAAAATAGTAATTATAATAGTTTTCAATAGCACAAATAGTTCTGAAGTTCTTAGAGATTTGACTGGGCGTTGTTTGACAAGGTCGGGCATAAACATAATTTTAGTAAAAAATGTACTAGGTAAAAATGTATTTAGTAAAAAATGTATTTAGTGAAAAATGTATTAAGACAAAAATGTATTATTAGTGAGTTCAAAAAGAAAATTGAAAAACGTAATGACAAAATCCAACATTTCTCATTTGAAAATTATTAAATAAATACATAAAACTCGAAAATGAATGAAAATAACTTGCTAATTAATTTTTTTATTCATTTCAAAAGGTCATGGTATTTAAACACGAAGTTAGCTGCGAATGCATATATATTGCACATTAATTTTATAAATTAAAAAAACATAAGCATTTTTTTTAATTTAATTTTTTTTTTTAGAAAGTTTACCGAGTTTTAGAAAAAAGTAACGATTTCATTCGACATTTCTTCTACAAATACTTGTACTTTTTCCCTAAAAAAGTAACGAAAGTACAAGTAAAAGTACTAAATTTAAAAAGTAACGAAGTACAAGTAAAAGTACGTACTTTTTACTTGTACCGGCGGTACAAGTAACGAATGTAAAAGTACTGCCATATATGGTCACCACTGTGAATTTTTCAAGTTTTTTTATCGTACTGGCCGCTTTTGGCGACCAGCTTGGTCACCTTTGAAAGTTTACTTGAAACTTTAAGGGTAACAAAGCCGAATGAGCTGCACGACAGTATTTAAATTAGTACTTTGATATCAATTTTAACTATTTCTAAGAGATATCCGTGATATTGACAAAGTTTTTTATGCATTGAATTTTAGTAATAATTTAAAATCTGTTCGGCAACCTCTAAATGACACAAACCAGCATAAATATAAGTTCGGGACATTTCAGAATAGTATGCAGCAGAAGTTTTAAAATTACTTCGATCTCTTTTGTAAAATAAGGTAGAATACTCATCCTAATGCTCCATTACATGCCATAGTTGGATAATCGTATGATGTACATGCTATTACTCGAAAAAGGCAAGCTCCGTCACCAAAAATTGGTGTAACATGCAGTATCATAACACCATCTATTTTAGAAAAGATCAAAAACAAATGCAAATAAGTACTTCGTAATTAAGTTTTCAGTTACACATTTATTATAAATAAAACCTTTTGTCATAATTAACTATTTAATACTACGTAAATTATTACAAGGCAACCTAATAAAATGAATCGAAATAACGTATATCTAATTTTTAGCACTACTTAAATTGTTATTTAAGACTGCTTATCAAAATAAATAATACTTAAAATGTTGCCAATAGATAGCGAAATACCCAAGTTCATGGTGCCATATAAGAGAAATATGTATATATATATACAGAGAGAGAGAGATTATTTAGTAATCACTTATTCTTTGGTCATTTGTTATTGCATGATATTCTGTGTTTAAAAAATTCTTTCGTACATACATTCACTTAATTATTTTAAAGTAATAAGAGTAATAAAGGGTGAAATAATAGGACGTTACTAAAATGACAGTGTTTCTAGGACTAATAAGCTTCCGTCAATAGCAAGTTCAACGATTTTTTTTCGAAAATATATGCTATAGAATATTTAATTTTGATCATCATGACGCTGGATTGTTAAAAAAACCTTCCAAGTTAAAGTTAAAATACACTTTGCTAATAATAATAGTGCTACGCCCTCTCTTAAATTACCTGAAGTTTAAATTTGGATCATTAATTTGCCCTTTCTTGCAGTCCCGTATTATATATACCTTATTTATATATTATTTTAACAATAAAAAAAGCATTGTGGAACCATAAAATTAGTTATATTTCTGCCTTTTCGAAGAAATAAAAAAAAACCTAAGCTCCTTAACAAGATTTTTAAATGTTTCGTATTTTATGCATTCGTGTCATTTTATTTAAACTAAACATTTACTTTTTCAGGTTATTGGCCGTTTGACTGGCCTATCTGCAGCGTGTGGGTCACGTGTGATGTACTCAGCTGTTCGTCTTCAATTATGCATATGTGCTTCATTTCATTAGGACGTTACCTTGGGATTCGAAATCCATTAAAAACACGCTCCAGCTCCAAAAAGATAGTAATGATGAAAATAGTTTTGGTATGGCTTGTATCCATGGCAATTACTAGTCCCATAACTGTCTTGGCAATGATTGATCCTACGAACATAATACCCACACGCGGTTTGTGTGCAATCAACAATAGATTCTTTTTCATGTTTGGCTCCATGTTTGCATTCTACGTACCTATGGTTATTATGGTGGTCACCTACGTCCTAACTGTACGTTTACTACAAAGAAAAGCCAAATTCTTAGCAGAAAAGCCGACCAGAAGAGTACCGTTCATAAGAAGGGGTCGCAGATCATCTCCTTCATCGCCATCAGATAGTACCACTAAAAATGGCAACATACAGCAAACTACTTTGAGTACTTGTCAGCACTGTGGACGCTGTCAGGCAAATGATGCTATCTGTGGCGATACCAAAGGTCTCTTAAGTCCTCAGAGTCGCCCTTCATCTTCGCAAGGTTTTGTTAGAGTTCGAATCGGAGGTCAAAGTGGCCATGGTCAGCACAATCGAACTTCAACACAACACCAGCAACAGCTTGTTCCAGGCATGGTGAGGACTCTGGGCACAAACCAAGTCGCAAACGAGCAAAAAGCGACAAAAGTACTTGGTATTGTGTTTTTCTGTTTCGTTGTGTGCTGGACGCCATTTTTTATTTTGAACGTCTTGTTGGTGTTCATGGATCCCGAGGAATTCCATCCTTATCTAGCAACAACATTCCAATGGTTAGGTTACGTTTCTTCCACTATAAACCCAATAATATACACGGTGTTCAACAAGACTTTTAAGAGAGCTTTCTGGAAACTGCTGACCTGTAAGTTTCCCTTTGCGAGGCATGTTAGTCTGAACTCTAACAACGATCTTTCCACCTGGGCTTTTAGGTCAGCAAACTATACCACTAAATCTGGCTCCCCGCCAGATCCATATCAAGACACAACAATGTGTTAACTGTGCCAAACTATGCGTAAATATTTGCGTTTATATTAAAATTTAGCACTGTACATACTACTTACTTTCTTTTTCCATGAACTTTCCATTAAAAAAATCCTATTAATTTATTTTAATTGAACATTGAACCATGCAAAGTTTCGAAAGTGTGACACAAACTTTAGTTCAACTCAAAACAAATAACAACTTACCCAAAATGCACTTTCAATTTTACTTGTCTCAATTTATTATTCCAGAAATTATTTAAAAAATGAGAATCTGCTATATTTCTTACTGAAAAGATTTGAAGTAAATTAAGTTAGTTAAACCCTAGATAACTAAAAAAACTCTCGTCCAACGGAATACCAATATTTGCTAACTTCACAAATTCGGGAAGTTAACGTTACACTTGACATTCATCGAAATTTTTATACATTTAAAAGGATTTCTTATAAGTTGTGATAAATAATTTAAGGTAATGCAAAAATAAAATGATACATAAACGAGTTCAAAAATAAACGTCTTCATAATCTATGAATTTAATATTTAGAAACATACATGAACGAATAATAAATATTAAAGACCCTCCCTATGACGTCATTGCAACACATTTTGTAAAGTTTCCACTTGCGTTTGTCACAAAAGAGCATTTCAATTACTTTAGCACGAAACTATTAATTGATGTTGAGGATTTGAAAAGCAAAAACTCCGTGATTTAGTGTCTAACATAATGTTCTCATTTACTCTTGTATTCGTTTTTTTTTTTCATTTCATTCTATTTTAGGATAAATTCCACTATAAACAGAGAAAAAAATCTTCATTGATAATTTACCTGAAAGCGTATGAGTATTGATTATAATCAATAATACTCATCCGAATTTATTTAAGTTTAAAAAAAGGATTATAAAAGGATTAAAGATTCATTGCAAGCTTATAAATATGTATTACAGTAATCTTAGAAATAAATTTTAGAACAACCCAAACATTTAAAGCAAACCATAATTTACTTTATAACCACTCGATGTCCTTAAAGAAAATAAACATCCAAGTGCTGCATAAACTTAAAATGAAACAGCTAAACGATTGAGAAAAAATTCTATTAGATGATTAGTTTGTCTTTCTCTTTTATTAATTCTAACTATTCGTCGATGTTATTACCGCAGAGAGGCGCTGTATACGATAGTTATAAAATTGTTGCCATTTTGCTTATACTCTTACTTTTAGAGTGAAAAGTCTTTAAATATTTCTTGTGGTTGCATAATAAAACTGATTTAACGTTTTCATCGTGGCAATGGTGAGTATATGTCCCTCTGCTCTAAGAGTTCCCCTGAAATGTTAAAATTGAAACAAAGCGCAAATTCATGGAAGACTTATTTATTTTGCTTTTAAAAATAATAATCAATCGCAATCAATAACAATACGAGACTAATATAACATTAGCGCACAGCGGATATTCCTGGAAATAAGTTAGATCGTTCGAGGAAGAAGTTTAGTTTTCTAGGGTCAAAAACAATTTCTATTATTTTAAGGCACGTAAACAATTTTACAGCCCTCTGAAAATGTAAATATATTTAAAACACATTTTGAAAATGAAATATAACTAAATGTCTGTGTAAAATGTATATTTTAAACGGAATTGTTAGTTCCCTTGAGAGCTAAGAGCACCTTTTCATACAAACATTATTTCAGAAAATTAATAAGTGTAACTTGAAATATTGTATAATGTCTGTGTTTGAGATAAAGGTTTTATATTTTTAAATATGACGGGAACCATACTGAAGTCTTTTACCAACGTTTAAAAATGAAATAAGTTGTTTTATAAAATAAATTCCAACTGTATCAAGTTAAATTAATAAATTTATGTTTCTGAATAGCTTTCTTTTTATTATAAAGAAGATAATAAAATTCAAATATACAAATAATGGCGTGTGCAATGATTGTAGAATTTTCGAATAAAAATTTAGATGTTTTTTTTATAGAGAACTATGAAGACATTTAATGTCTACTTTAGTTTGTTTGTTTTTATCAACAAAGAAAATTATTATAATATCAACTTAATAAAGTGACTTATAACTACAATGTGCCAGAACAAATTTAATCATGAATAGATTTTGCTTTGTTCATCGTTTTTTCACAAATTACCAATTTTGATGGTCCAAAGAATTGACGCCTACATTTCCCTCAAATTTTGTATTTCGTCTTAAACATAGTTTAGAATTATATAGATAATTGTATTACTTGTAATTCAAAATTTTTCGAACATCATTAAATAAAGTAATAAAGAATTATAAATAAATATCGAAAATAAGTTTTTGTGTGGCATTATATTTGGACAATCGAATTTTATTATTGTTTGCCAAAAGCTTCCAATTCTCTTAAAAGGTGAAATTAACATTAAAAAGCCCAAACCTTAAACTTTTTTCTTTTTTTACACTTAAATATTGGAACTTTATTTTCCAAATTGCGGCTAGCCCCATATTTTGATGGTCATAAATTTAAATTTGACCGAAAAAGGATTGTTTGTTCACAGAAATGATATTTTTGTGTCTGATTTAGAAACTAAATTAATAATTAGCCCTAATTAATTACCATATCTGAGTTTAACTCTTTGAACCATAAAAATTGGAACTCAATACATGAAAATCTGGTATTTAGGGCGAAAGTTATCCTGGGTGAAACCTTCAAACATTCAATAACTATTGGCTTAAACTAAATAAATTATCTCTTAATTTACTCTTCCACTTTCGCTTCATTTATGACAAAACCTATCTATTATCATAACGTGGTTAAAAATTACACTATTAAATGGGAAAATTATTTAATGACAGACGAATTTACTTAGTTTACTGTACATAAAAAGTTTTTTTTTAAAAAAATAATAAAATTCACGTTTTCTGTACACTATCAGGACAAAAGGGTATCAGGACAAAAGTGTATGCCTCAAGACTCCCAGAATTCGTAAACACTGGGTGCCCGGATGCTTTTCGCTTGATAGTGTAGCACGAGCTTATAGACTTTCCGAATAGCTACTTTTCCACTAAATTTGAGGAAAATACTTTTTATGGCAATCGTGATTTTTTTTCTCCTCTCAATTCGTTTTAATCCTTAGTGTCAACACACTGAAAAGATCCTTAGTAGAATCCATTCGATGTTTCAACTAGCACTGGAAAATACAAAGCTACAGAATATTAAGATGGTAAACTTTTCAAAAGATTGACAATTGCATCTAGCACATCGAATTTGAGTGCTAAACCATGGGTAAAAGCTAATTTTTGACACAATAACGGTATAACTTTTTTGAGAAACTGTATGATTTGCAAGAGTAGTTTTATAATGTTTAAAAGTAGTGGTATTATGTGCAAACCTTACCCAAGTCAAAACTTTTGATGGTTTTCCATTGATGGACCAACATAATCTTGATCCATCAATAATTCCATCATGAACCATTATATTTTTTGATGTTAACCAGCATAAGTAACCATCACCTCAATGTAGGAATTAGGACTGATTTATGATGGTCCAACACAAGAATAGCAACTTGTTTTGATGGTTTGTTCATGTCGAACCACCAGAAATTTCCATCATAGTTTTTTAGAAATCAAATGTAGGAACGATCATGAACAACCATCATCCCAATGTAGGAATTCAGACTGATTTATGATTGTCCAACATAAAAAAATTGTTTTAATGGTATATTCTTGCTAAATTAATAATAATTATTATTAAACCATCATGTACGTATATGGTAGGAACCATCATGAATGCTTGGTCCATGAGAATGAAACTTCTCTTGATGGTTAAACATTGTTTTAAAGCAGCATTTTCCATCATGGAATGATGGAAGTTTGTTGGCATATCAAAAACCATGAAAACATAATGAAAAATGTTGGATGATGGTGACCATCAAATGATGTTCAACCATCGTGAATCACACTGAAACCATCAAAATATTTCAGTGGAACCATCAAGAACTTTGACTTGGGTAATTAGGTCATCAAAATGTGCATCATTTTAATTTATTTCGATTAAAATATTTGTGAATTTATAGTTAGTCTTACTTTGCAGTTCGTGAGTACATTGTTCAACCTATATAGTTTAAAAAATTTCAATTCCCCGCAATGTCAATACTTCAGAAGCATTTTCTAAACAATTCTACCACTAGTGATTGTTTATGTTTTTCTAGTCATTAGATTGTAAAAATTTATTCTTATCCTCATCTGTAAAAAAAAAACATTTATGTAAATAAAGATTGTTTTAAAATTGCTCATTAATGTGTATGTGTTGTATTATGTCGTGAAGGAAATAAACAAAATGAACTGTCTCTATCTCTTTCTTTTTTTCGTTTGATCATAACAGTACAATGTAAAAATATTAAAAAAAAAACGGAACACGCTGAATAATTTTTAATCTAATGATCTAATTTTCAAGGTCGAAGACACAATCTGAATGGTTCCAGGGAATCTAATATGCTAATTAGTTATTTCAGACGACATATTCAGCAACGAAATCAGACACGAAAACGCAAAGATCTTTTATAGAATGTATGATATTTAAAATGTATTCAAAATTCTATGTAAAAAAATTAGTAAAATCAACATTAAGGAGTCGAAACTTTCACCCGTTCTCCAGACCAAATTATTAGGATCATATTTTCCAGATCGCTTCATTCGAGGGTCAGAAATCTAAATCCGTAAAAAAAAATGTATGTTTATTCAGGGAACGTGCGTTTTTATGTCTGATTTCGTAACTTAAAATTCTTTTTCTAATGGCAGGTACTGAACTTTCGTTTGCCAGAAGTTTTGCTCATTTAAAGTTAGCCAGTGAGCACCTGTGAACCTTAGTCACGGAGGCGAGCAACATTACCAATGCCACACTACCACAGATACCCATTCATAGGGTGGGCCACATTCACACATCACACAATAGAGGACAACACACAGAGAGAAACATCCATGCCCAGTGCAGGATTCAAACCCGCAGCCATCGACTTCACAGTCAGGCATGCTAACCGCTCTGCCACCTGGCCGGCTAAATTTAAAATATCTTATTCACTAATTAGTTAGCTTATTTATAGTCTCTCCGAACTATAAAGATTGAGTTTTAGTACAAGAAAATCCCATCATTAGATCAAATATAATTCAGAGTGTGCCATATTTTGCGTACTGTAGATTCAAATTATAAAAATTAATGGAAAAATTTCTAAAGCTTTGAAATTTCGAGAAAATACGTGTATGGAGTCTTGCAATAGAAAAAAAATAAGTCCCCCCACCCCGAATGGGTCCTTCCCTCCTAAAACTTTCATAAATAAAACTTTATTAGGTGCATTTTTTGGTTTTAAAGAAATCAAATGATGGAAAATAACCCATAGATTCTACTAATAAAAAATAATCTATTTGCTGAGGAGTACATTACCCCCCATTTCCCTCTTGTTGCTGTTGTCGTAGGCCATTAAGGCAAGAAGTGCGATTGTTCATGTTTTCCAGTGGCGCCCTCTATGGCTAAGAATTCGACTTCTGCCACACCCGTTTATAGAGTAGATCCATCCATACATTCATTCATATACAGATCGTAATTTTGTCCTGAGCCAGAGAACGATCAATCACCAGTTCAGTACCCATAGAGGTATAATTTTTTATGGGAACATGGAGTATTTTGTGACTCGAACAACTTAACATGCGAAAGTCACAATTTACTACACGGGGAGTCTTCAGTCGGCTAGATACGAACTCTACGTGAGTCCAGCGCCCTGACAACCAGGATATCCCGACCCACATTTACCTCTTAAACTATAAAGTGTTTTCTAAACAATATTTTAAGCTCGTTTTTTCTTTCATTTTCCAAATAATTAAATACTGGAGCATACTTATCGAGATTCTAGTACTGAAAAACAATAATTCATTTTCCTCTAGTATGACTTCCCTCTGCCAAAAATCATGAGTTTTAAATACCTTAAAAACAACATTTTAAGTATTTTTTTTCTATTTTTAAGCAACTCAATAATGTTAGAATATAAATGTATGTGTCACTTAGTAACGAGGAAAAATTCGTT